GGGGGGGGGGGAGCCTGAACCCTTCCTCGGAGGATTATTGCCAGGTACGAGCTCTTGTTAAACCAATTTAAGCTCGACAACGTTTATGCCATTGTCTTCCTGCCAGGGTAGCCAGGAAAAACACCGTGCACCTGTGTTGGGCAACACACAAAAAGCTGCCGAATGCGTGTCAAGATGCAGGTTTGCACTTGCTTATGAAGTATCCAGGTACGAGCCAGTCTTCGCTGCCACGATCACCTAACGGGGTCCCAGCCACCTTAATCTGTTCCGCTCCTGTTGCCAGCAGCTGAAGTACGAAACCAGCATTTGCTCAGAGAACCTTGTGGCAAGCACGAAGGCTTTTCAATTACGTTAAGCTAACTTGATTTGGAAAGAAAGAATCACCCCCCTTTGAATCTACCCATCACGATGGGGCTAATGCCCGGTTTGGTGAAATGCTGTCAGCTGCACTCATCACCTCAAAATATGAGTGGCACATGTAAATATTACCTGAAGCTTTATGTTTGAAAATGGTTTTCAGAACCAAAAGATCACCCTGCTTAGAGGCCGAGTGTGATTGTAGCGCCGTTATTCAACTGACCCGGGCCTCCTGGAGGAGGCAGAAAACCACTGCCAAAGGCATTAAATCAGAAGAGAACAGTATCGGGCATTGAGAACTCCGCTGGTTCTGCAGCGCTATCCCGAGAAATGAGGGACTGTGATTTGTGCAGCCAATCTTCATCACTCTACGTAAAAGCAATGCAACTGTTAGAGACTTTCTGACCACAGTTTTCCAAGTCAGTCCTGTACTGCACATAGTGTTTTAACACAGCACCGGAGGAAGAGAATGGAATGCAACCTTGTTTAACAGTTACAAAAGAAACCACGCAGTTTGTATAAACAGTCCGATCACAGGAGCAGCAGAATTACTCAAGGACGTTTCAAACTGCGCTGCTGGTGAATCTGATCATGTGATTCCTACATCGCTCTATCCTCAAATTCCACTAAACACCAAGTCCGGTCCTTGTAACGGTACTCAGGTACTGAGGCTAAATACCAGAACAAGAAAACAGTATGACAAAATAAGACTGCCATGACACATGGAATGATGAAAGACTTACTCATTCTTGCCAACTACTTAATTGATTTGCTGAATTCCAAAGAAAATATTTAAGGGCTTCAGACAAGAAGAAAAGGGGGCACAGGAAGACTGTAAACAGATGTAAGGTCAGCTACCTCTGAAGAGGTGTTATTAGTGAAAACCTGCCAACAGGGTAAAGACAGAGACTTGTTTTCTTCGCAGTATTAAGACCCCAACACGCGTAACTTTCTTAAACACACTCCTTTCCAGCCAAGAAGTCTGAAGTCACAGTTTCTTTCAGCAACTTGCCAAGTCCCAGACTACTGGCACAGTTTAGCATTCTAAACCTGGACCGCTTCCTTGGGTAATACACAAAGGTACAGCTGGCCACACTACACCTGCAGCTGTGTTACGGTATTATGAAAAAATTCAAGTAAATGACAGAATAACGTATCTTGAAGAGGTGAAGTTTAGCTGAGTGCTAGGATGCTCACTGATTAATTACTTTAAGCTTCAAACTGCCACACTAGCAGTTATTCATACAAAAAGTAAAAAAAAAAAATATTCTACAGAGTGGTTTTTTGATTCTGAGTCTTCCCAGGAAACAGAAAAGTGTCTGCAATTTCTTCCCCTCCCAATTTCTCACTGTTAACCTGTGGATTTCTCTCCTTAAAAAAATAATTTGATATAAATTTAAAACGGTAAGATCTATTTGCTCTGATGCATTAAGTTTAGAAATCAGATTTGTATGCCGGAACATAATATAAAAACTGTATATGTCTATTATCTAACAAAGTGTGCAAAAAACATGACTTCATGTTGTTTTTTACTCCCCATAATAAACATGTAATATTTTTTCATCCAAAAAGTCTTCAAGCTATGTTTGAAAGAAAGAAAAATATTTTTCAGTTGATTGTGTTTGCATTCCAATATAAACTATTTCCACTGCTAACATGAAATTATAATAATGATGTTCCATACTTAAGAGAAAGTATAGAATATATCTGTGCTCATCCACAAGTTGCAAGACTTCTGTTTAATAAACACCAAGTACAGTATTTAAGATTTCCGTTATTTTCACATATACAGCAAATATTCAAGTCCATCTTATTTCCTTTATAAAAGCATCTTGATCCAATTTTAATAAAGATAGTATGCTTAAAAAAATTCAAAGATATAGTACATTTGTTTCTGTACATGTATGTGCAAGATCTCCTGACAAAAAGTAATAGGAATATGGAATCCTACAGCTTCACCATTTACACCTCATTTGGCGAACACAACTTTGTATCACATGATGTAAGTACCATCTTTGTAGTATTTCATGGATTCCAGTTGCTGAGTCATTGCAAGGACATCCTGAAATCCCGTACTAAGTCCGGACATGTGTTGAAAATAAGCTTCCTTCTCCACTTGGACCGTTAGGTTGTTTACGCCAGCGTCTTTCAGAATCGCTGTAACCTGAATAGAACAGTACGGTTAACTTTAGTATTGCACTTCGTATGCATCTCACAGTAATATTCTTGCTCTGAACTACTGTAGATCAAAAAAGTATCATCATAAACAATTCAATTTTCTGGAAAGCGAAGACTAGCTTCAGAGGGTAAGGCTCTGCAACTTCTGCATAAAGGGTAGTTCTCAGTGTCTTGCATAAGGAAATAAGTATCTTTTTAAGGAAAAGAAAAAAACAAGGCAGACAGATTAGTAAGCCAGTTATAAACCCACGATTAGCACCCAGATATCCCTACTGTTTACTGCCTGTTTTGCAGCATGAAATCCACCTCCTCCTCCTTTTCTCAGAGCAGATTGTAGTGCCACTTTCAACAGTGAGGAAAAAAAAACAGAGACTTTTTTTTTTGTTTTGGCAGATGTTTTAGCAAACAACTCTTTATGCAACTAATTCCAAGCTAGCAGGCAAGGGGAAGTACAGCATTAGAGACCAGCTCCGAGACATTAACTAATAGCTATAAAAATAATCACAAACAGCACCTTCAAACTTCAGTCTATGTCTGAAAAAGGGCTACAGTGTAAGAAATTAAGACATTAGGGTCTAAAAACCTTGCACCTTACCTGCTGTACAATTCTCTGTTCCATCACATCCGATACCACTTGCACATGTACTGTACCTGCCACAACACTTGCAGAGTGACACCAAAAATGAGGATCTCTGTAG